TGATTTAAAAAAGGAAAGTTGAAATTTTACAATTACTTTGATCACTTCCGTAAGCGACCGGAAGTACTGTCGACGCACGAAAAGGCAATTTTGCAAATCTAGAAGTCGTGTCCTATCATCTCTAACAAGTCTCCAGTTCATATCTTTAGCCGTTCCTTAGATCCTTCGAGGACAAAATTTCATTTTAAAATCAGGAAATTGTCCATAACTTCGCGCTGGAACCGTATTTACCAAAAAACGGAATTTTATATAAAATTCATATAAAGATCTTTTATCCCTGAAAATTTCAAAGAAATTCATTGAATAGTTTTCGAGAAATCGCGTGCACAAAATTTTGTCTAAAAAAAAAAAGAATAATAATAATAAGAAACAATAGAATCACTATAAGGTCTTCCGTGGAGACGGAAGACCTTAATAATAATAATAAGAAACAGTAGAATCACTATAAGGTCTTCCGTGAAGACGGAAGACCTTAATAATAATAATAAGAAACAGAGTAAAAACAATATGTTCCCAAACTTCGTTTGGGGAACATAATAATAAGAAACAGAGTAAAAACAATATGACTTCGTTTGGGGAACATAATAATGATGAACATACACCATGTTCAATCCAATAATGATAACGGTAAAAGTAGTGCTCGCAGAGCGACATAGTCTAGAAATTTCCCATAAAGGTGTACATATGTAAAATTTATATTATTAATTACATACAGTGTTTATTTTTACATAAGTTTGTGTTATCTATTCTAAATATGACAGGAAAATGGGCAAATCGTGGGTGGGGATTGATTTCTGACAAAGTTGATTGGGTCAAGGTTTGGAAAGGGGTTCTCCAAGTCCTACCCAAATACTGATAAAAATTTGCACAAGTCATTTTGGCATCTAATTTTTTTAATGTTCATCAAAAAAGCTTTGCAATAAAATAATAATATTTGTTGTTTTGACAATAAATTCAACAAGTTCCAATTATGGGTAAAAAATTAACCCCTCCTTTTTTTTAACACAAATCTTTCAAAAATTCTCTCTTTTACAGAATTTACATTATTAAAGAACAAGGTACGGTATTGGCCAAAAAATGCCATGTTTCAGATCTTCTCCGTTCAAAACATTTTAAAAAGCCTAGGATTGTTAGAATTAAATGGTTTATTAATTTATATACCTGACTCAAATCTATGCATTGCGAAAATAACACTCAATGCTGTACCTTTTATAGCAGAACGTCGAGATTGTATGAAACATTCAAATGCAAAGTCATACGTTTAACATGCAGTAGGCGTTATCTGAAAATCCAAACTTACTCACTAGGACACATGTTGAAGAAAACAAGTTTTTGATTTTGTTAACACGTCTTTGTTGTTTTTTATTATTATTATTATTATTATCATTATAATTATTATTTACAATGTAATCATCCAAGAAGGTGTCTCGGCTTTAGTTGATCACATAAAAACTAATTGAAAGTGCAACAGAAGAACAGGGAGAAAAAGAAATAAACTGTGTATGTCTTTTCTCTAGGAGAATTGCTTTCATTTTATTGCAATGATAACGGCTTCAATCCACAAGAAATATTAGTTATTTCTGCTAAATAAATAGAGAAAATTCTCTACATCAGATCTAGTGGACAAAAATTTACTGATAAAAAAAATCAATGTTTTGTCAAGCCATGTGTTCCCGGCACCAAAGAAAGTTTAATTGTCGAGACCCTGTATTCTAATTGAATGTACTTTGTTCGCATATAAGCAGAAATGTGTTCAATTAAAAAGTCAAAAAAATCTAAATCTAAATATATCTAAATGTAACCCCCCTTCCTTTCCCATCACTCCGCGTTTAATGAGTTCATATTAATAATATATGCTGTATACAAGTACAAGTAATTTTGTTTTAATAAGACATGCAAAATGACATGTTATAAAACTGAAAATGAAAAATCAGTGGATGTTGTGAAGTTTTGTTTGGAGGGGAAGGGGGTGATAAGTCGGACTTTCAGTTCAGACTGAATAACATAACAGATATTCTTTCAATTCACTGAAAAACCTGTATGTAAATTATTATTGTTGTAGTATTCAGCTGACTACTATATTTGTTTCTCTCATGAAAGCTTTCTATATATTTTTGTAAGTCTGTGTAAATACTTACATACTTAGAAGAGTCATTTGTATACATGTTTACATATTGTTGACAATAATGTCCGATAAACATAATCGCTCGTGGGTTTTTTATTCAGCATCCTGACCTTTTCACAGCCGATGACATATTTATTCCAAATATTTATTAAAAGTTTTCGCCTATTTTCACTAGGATCAAAATGTTTAAGTTGCTAGTAACACTTTCCATGTTCTTTTTTAATTTTTTTTTCCGCAGAATTTCCTTGCTTGGTAAAGAGTGCAGCTATTAAAAATAATATCATTATAATACATGTATTATGTATTGGTCCATGACAGGTAATTTCATTACGGGGATGGGCACAACTGGAAAAAAATCCTTTAGCAAATTTAGTTGCCCCCATCCTAACAACACACACACTTTCTTAATTTTAAGGAATGAATGAAATATATAAATGAACCTACCTTCCCCTACCTGGGAAAAACAGGTCTTTCATAAGGTGGTCCATGACAAGACCCCCCCCCCCCCCCCCCCCCCCCCGAAATAGGTTTTTCTCCTTTTGAGAGTGTTGAAATTTTTTTTAACAAAAAAATTCTTGAGTCGCTTTTTCTTTCGCATCAGTTTTAATGGATTTTCTTAATGTACACGTAATTCCTTTCTTATGTCCCAATTCACGCCATAGATTCGTTTTCTATAGAACAAAATGCATAATGTTAATATGAAGTGGTGGAATTTTATCATATATACATTTATTAATATTTGGTAAAGATATTGAAACTATAAAAAGTAGATGTTAGTTTTTCTACATGAACTTCATGATCACAAATTAAGGAATGTGATTGTGTATTCAATTGGACATTATAGAAAACATTTATGCGCACATTTACCTGGATTTAGGTGTGTAATATTTGTGTACATCAATCAGTTGAAAAGATGTACTGTTTACGGATATGACTTTACAACTTTACAACACACTCAGATTTTTTTTTCACAGGGAAAAACAAAGCAGCAAAGGTGTCCAAACACTTATTTCGTTAGGAACAACTTTCAAAGACAATTTGATTTCCTTCATAACAATGAAAGACAAGGGTCTACATGGTTCCTCGGGAATATTTTTTTGAATTTTTTTTTCTTATCCATCTGAATCTTTACTATAAATCTTTAAGAAATCTGAAAATCCAACGATGAAGAGGAGGGGAGTCCTCAATACATGTAGTCTTACAAGTGTCACCTTTGAATATATGACAGCCATCATACTTGCCAACCTCCAACATGTAAAAATCTGGTCATGACCAGATTTTGAAAGTAAAAAATCTGGTCATAATGCGTAACGACATTCTCGACACATTTACCATGATTAAATTAAATATATATGTATATATAAGCATTTGTGTATTGAGAATTATTTTATTAAAAAGAGACTTTAACTTACAATGAGAAAAATTTAATATATATTGATTAAATTTACATGTTAAAAGAGCATTGAAGGTTTCATTATTCATTTATGACTTGGATTAAGTGTACATTTTTTTAAACACTTAAAGGAAAGTCTTTTCAAAATCTGCATTGCCGATTTGAAGCACATGGAAATTTGTGCTAAATTTGAAAGTATTCCAATTATGGTTTTGAAGTTATTTTTCCTCTCCCGAATTAATTTAATTAACAAGTGCTATTAAATCTACAGTTATGTCTACACTATCTTCGAACACTTTATTTTATCAAATGAAAGTTGTTTTCCAAGATTCCTTGATATGTACATAAATATCGTTTCTCTTTTTCTTGGTTCAATTTGTTCCTGCTGGCCCTGATAACCATCTCGTTCTATCAGAAGCCATTTTAAATTGACTTCAAACTTTGATTTGTCACAACTGTTAACACCTGCACTGATAATTTACTGGTACACACGGCCTACTGAACATAGCCATCGGCATTGTTTACGTATATCCAAGCTTGGGTTGTAACTGGAAGTTAAAAGTGCAACCTAATTTACGAACCAAATCCGGAAATCGGGAGATTTTCGGGTTGTTTGGCAAAAATCGGGTGAAAAGCATGACCCGCCGTGTCATAAAAAATAATCGGGTTAAGGGTCGAAAAATCGGGTGTAACCCGACGAAATCGGGTGAGTTGGCAACTATGACAGCCATAACTAAAATATACAATAAAATGTATATGTATGGAATAAGCTTTACGATAACCTTTTAATATAGCCTTAAATGTATGTTCCAACTTTTTATATGTTAAATCAATTAATTGTTTTATAACCGTTAATTGTGAAAGATAAATATAAAAATCTGCTTTAGTTGATAGCAGTTTAACAAAACAATCTGATTAAAAAATTTCCCAAATACTAGAGAGTTTGCACATTAACAGTCCGAAAGGCGCACATAAATGCAAGTATTTAATCATTCATTTTTTTTTTTTAATTTTTCATGCAGAATCGTCATTGCATGCATTTGCAATGGGTCATAAGTTATCTGTTTCAGTTGCATGAATATTTATTAAGAAGCCAGTGGTAGATCAGGGGAGGGGGTGTCTATGGGGTTGCAACAGTGTTGATGTTTGTTTATAAAACTGGAAGAGTCAAATGTACTAGTAGTATAAAGAAAGAATTATGCGCACATTAGTGGAATTCTGAAATTTAACTGAAAGTCATACATATATACATATGAAGCTTAAAAAGTGAGTGGCCAACCCCCAACCATCACCACCACCACCCTGAAATAGGTTTTTCGCATTTGGGAAAGGAATTTTTTTTTGAAGGAGAGCAGTCAGAGCACATTTAGAGGCAAACACCTTAGTACCTTAATAAGTGCAGGTATTACTGTCTTAAGACAGAATCTAGTTTGAATTGCTAGTGATTGTGGTTTGGGTTATTTTGATTTCCTATTTTTTCAGTGCACAGAACTTGAGGAACCTGTGTTTATTCATCCCCTCTCTGTATTACACAAACAGAGCCCAGAGTACATAGTGTATCAACACATACAAGAAAGTTCAAAAGTCTATATGAAAGGTAAGCACTCTGATATTTAGATGGAGAAAATTGTGCTTTTAATAGTCATTCTGCTTTACCAGAGATTTGCCAGAGTACTGGAATTTTTGTTTCTCTACTTATTTTCCAAAAATCAGTATTGCAATTCCAACTTATATATCTTAATTTTACTTCATAAAAAAAATTTAAAATATGAAAGGTATATCCTAATATCAAAGTATATAGAATGTCTTTTCTGAAATTCATTCAATGATGTGGCAGTTAATGTGTAGACTTCTATATGACACTTTTTTTCTCAATTTTTAGCTCACCTGAGCTTGAAAGCTCAACTGAGCTTTTCTGATCACATTTTGTCTGGCATCTATCTGTCTGTCTGACTGTCTGTCCATCTGAAAATAATTCACATTTTGGACTTCTTCTCAAGAACCACTGGGCCAATTTTGACCAAACTTGCATTTTTCATTTTTTGTTTGTGTTCATGTATCGCAGTCTTTTAACATAGATCATGATTATTAAGGGTTTTCTATAGAATCTCTGATAAAAAAAAAAAAGAGCTTTAAAAATTTTAAAAAGCGGTAAAAACAACCATACATGTCTTCAAAGAGAGAAATATCATTTTACAATTGAAAAAAGAGAGAAAAAAGAAAAAAAAATAATGAGGTCTCATTTGCGAGCAATGAGTAGATCTTCTGTTGGATTTCTGAGATAAGATCTTGATTGGGATAGTTTGAGTGGTACAAGAAGGAAAAATGACTATAAATGAAAGAAAAAGGCTTCAAAATATGCATCAAAACACAAAAAAGTGTGAAATCTGTCAATTTCAATCAACTTCCAGTTCTTTTTTCGTTCACTTCTGATTTGACCGGAAGTGCTCCAAATGATCTTAAATTCCATATTAAAAATGTAGGAATCATCCTTGAACATTTGATGAAAAATATTCATTTTAAGGACAACTTCCGGTTTGGAGAAACCAACTTCCAATGGAAATTGTAGGACTTCAAACACTCTACTAGGCTGTATAATACACACTCGGAAATGAAAAAAAAATTCATATTTTTTAGTTACTTCCGGTGGACAACGGAAGTGACGACAACAAAAATGAGACCCGTATGTCACATGTGCAAGGCAAGATTTATCATCCCTGAAAGTTTTAAACTTGATATCAAAGCGTTATTGAGAAACCCCCAGACAGTATTACATTTTAAAACAGGAAATTGGATGTAACTCACGATTGGAAGTGACAATGACAAAGTAAAGAAAAAGCATGAAGTTCATGTCATTCCATATCATTACTGAAAATTTTTTGAAATTCTTTCGAGGCATTTTTGAAAAATCCTCTGCACAAAATTGGTAAGAATAAAAAGAATAATAACTAGAAACCTTGTTGCCATGGCAACAAGAAGGTCTTCCGTCCCTTCTCTGTCTTCAGAGAAGTTGATTCCTCACTAAACAACATGTTATGTTGTGCATTCCCTGTAACAACTTCATACATAAAATATAATTAAACGTTTATGTTTTGAAAATATTGCAAAACTGGAATGGAAAAAAATACGAGACATCATTTTAAGGAGGGGGGACTGTAGCAACCTCTAATGATAAAACGCCTCTTAATGATACAAATATCATTGAGCGTTGCAATTGCAACGCTTAATGCCATAAATTATTGCATTTGTAGTTGACATTCTCAACTGCTAACACTAAATCGCCACTTAATGATAGAATTATATCATTAAGCATCACAAATGCAGAGCAGCATCGACACTTAATGAAACAAGCAAATATCTACATAATGGACGGTTAATGATACACACTAGTTTATCATTAAGCGTTGCAGTCGCACCCTTTAATGATACAAAAAAATCACACACACCCACCCCAACCGGGATCTTGGCATCATATGCATTGTTATTTGACTGTGTGAATGTGTGATATTTTTTTAATCTTTCTTTTTATTTTTTTATCTATCGTATTTCATTTCTAAAAGATCTTTACTGGTGAGATATTTTACCGGTGTTGTGGAGTAGGATTTCCCCCATAGCCAGCTTTCTGCCCAGAAATTGTACCCTAGAGTAGGATTTCCCCCAAGGGGAAATCTCACACAAGAGCCAAATTTCCCCCTCTTTCTTTCTCAGAGTAGGATTTCTGCCCTAGTTATGGAGTCAGTATTAACTACAACCACAATATTTTTGTAAAAAAAAAAAAGATGAGCAACACACTGACTTTTAAATGAAATGAATGTTTTTGACTTATATACTGTTCAATTGCAGTAGAATTTTCTTAGCATAATTTTCCAATCATGGAGTCTCAACCTGTATATTAAGCTTTCAAAAATTTAAGAAATATAAAACTCCTCAGATTCAAAGCCATAATACCTCAAATAGCGCAGCGGTACTTGTATTTGTCAGATGTTTTTAATGTGCATATATCGAGGCTCAATCTGATTAAAATCAGATCCTTTGATCCGCTCACATAGATCGCTACACAAGGATCTGAAGAAACCCCATTCAGGGTCATCTCCTGGTGACCTTTCTAATAGAAACATTCATTAAAATTTTGACCAATCAGAGAGATCGTACTTAAGCGACATTCGGGAAAATGAATGTAGAAGTGAAAGTAGCTGTGGAGAAGATCTTATCGTTTCATACAAAACAAAGAGCTAAAAAAACAAGGCAAAAGCAAATACTACATATTTTTCTGTACAGAAGAAACTGTAGTCGTTCTTTTGACAGGCTACGGAAACCAGGTCACAATTTTCTGTTCATGTATCATCGAGACTTTCACTTTGGTAACTGAATTCCAAGATACTTCTAAATTCTTGGAAGCAATCATATGATTGGATAATTGAAAGGTCACCAGGAGATGACCCTGAGTGAGGTTTCTTCAGATCCTTGTGTAGCGATCTATGTGAGCGGATCAAAGGATCTGATTTTAATCAGATTGATCGAGGCTATCTAAAGTTTAAAGATTCAGTTTGCTTTCAAAGAAAGTAATTTATGTATACCTTTTACTACTTGTATGTTCCTTGAATTCAATGACGAAAGAGTGGTTTGAGTTAGTATCTTGTTAGAACGAATAAATTATTTCATAACGAGTTAGATATCTCCTTATAACCAGATATTTATCCTGTCAAAAGGATTTCAAGCTATATATGGCGTATCTGAGCTAAAAAATAAAAATACAAGATTGAATTAGATGAACATGATATTTGTTATTTACATTCAAATTAAAATTTCGGCTTAGAAGAAGGTGTGTATCTCAGAGGGAAGATGAATGGCCCCAGATCAATTGGTGAATTTTCATTAGGGCATGCATTGATTTACAGCATACTGGGTGTTTTATCCTCCTCGCTCGGGACTGGGGATGGGCTGTATAGGTGCGATTGAGGCCCAAATCTAAAATTTGGGAGTCCCCAAGTGCATTTTCGGTACATGTGCACTCTAATAGGTAGATTGCATGTTATATGTTGACATAATTTGTGAGCTGTGGGCATATGAAGTGTAATTAATTAGCTCCCAGGAAACTGTCCCCATGTATATATTTTTATTGACGGCTTGTATTTGTGTACCCTCTCGGCGCATGTTTGGCATTAAAAAAAACTATCCCTTGCCACCCAAGATAACTACTTTCATTTTCAATTTCTTGATAGGTCGTATGTGTATGGTTTCGTACCAATATTTCAATGCATATATTGTGAACCTTATCTTAGCAGGAAATATCGGTATATTTTACTGCTGGACTTGCTTAGGATCCTGAATTTGATCTAAATTATCCAAATGAGTGACCAGGTTAAAATTTTTGGAGCAGTTTCTTTCTAAAGTGACTATAAGCCAAGTGCTAACCAACTTTGCACTGAAGATACATTTATTGATGCCTACTACCAGAGTTGCTTCAGATGCTGGATTTGACCTACATTATCTCAGTTTTTGGAGCAGGTCCATTCCCAAGCAACTATAAAACGTACCTGGATCAAACTTGCATGGATGATGCATCTAGGTGTGAACACTACCATACTTGCTTCAGATGCTGGATCTGACCTACATTTTCCTGATGAATGACTAGAATAAAATTTTTAGAGCAGACCCATTACCAAATAACTTTAAGACCTACCTGAACCAAACTTGCATGTATGATGCATCTACGGATGCACACTACTAGTTTGCTATAGTTTAGTGAGGAACTTTGCCTTAAAGAAAACATTTGTTAAGGGGAGCTCTGTAATCTCTGATTACCTATGTTTCATTAAAAGTACATATTTTTCTGATTTCAGAAAATAAGAAACTTTGCACTCTATTTCTGTGGAAACAGTGATATATTTAAAAAAAATACCTAAGATTTTACAATCACAGACATGTCTGTATAAAATAATAATTTAAAAATCCAATTTGTTAAATTTGTGTCCAACCTATTTTGATAGTTACAGAAAACTGGTATTCATAAGCTTTCTATTTAAAACAGGAATTACTGCAATAGAGCCTGAATGGTTGCCAGTTTTTGCTTCATACCACTGTGCATTATCCAAACCTCTAGAGGATCCCAAACCTTCTTATAGTTGTAGCAAGGGTCAGGTGATGTGTCACATGACAAGTACATTTGGCAGATGTTCATGGGCAATACCACCAGTTGAATTAGAGTATCCCAAAGGATTATATAGGTTCAAGTGGTTTGCTCGATTTCTGTTGGAGGGAAAAGTGCTGCCTAAACTGAAAAAGTATTCATATTTTCTATCTCCGCCATCTACTATGACAAAGTCTTGGGCAAAGTAAGTTCATAATCATGTAGAATTGTTCATATAAATATAAGTCCATTATTTTTAGGTCACCTGAGTCATTCAGGTGACCTATTGCTATCTGTTTTCGTCTGTCGCCGTGCGTCGTCTGCCGTGTGTTAACATTTGAACATTTTCAGCTTCATCTCTGAAACCGCTGAACCAATTTCAGCCAATTTTAGCATATGGCATCTATGTGTGAAGAGGAACAAAATTTGTGAATTTCATGGTCCCTGCCCCCCTGGGACCTGAGGGGTGGGGCTAAAACCACCAAAAGTAATGCAATCTTTAAAAATCTTCTTCTTTACTCCTGGACATCAAGCAGTCAAACTGTTGGCATCATTGTAATAAGCATTGAGCCCTCTACCAAAATTGTGAAATTCATGGCCCCGGGGTCAGGGGTTCTGGTGCTAGGGTGGGGCTATATAGATCATATAGTGAAAGTACATTATTTCTTTGAAAATCTTCTTCTCTGCCCCTGGGCATTATTGAAACAAATTAAATACATATGTACAATACATATGTATGATAAGCAAGAGTGACTATACCAAAATTGTGAATTTCATGGCCCCAGGGTCAGGGGCTCTGGTGTTAGGGTGGGGCTATATAGATCCTATTCTGAAGGTGAATTATTTCTTTGAAAATCTTCTTCTCTGCCCCTGGGTATTATTCAAACAAATTAAGTACATTGTTATGATAGGCAAGGATGCCTCTTCAAAATTGTAAATTTCATGGCCCCAGGGTCAAGGGTTCTGGTGAAAGGGGGGGGGGGGGGGGGGGGGTTGGGGCTCTATTGATTATATAGTGAAAAAGCAAAATTTCTTTGAAAATTTTCTTTTCTGCTTCTAGTTAAAAAGCAAAGAAACTAAGTGTATAGTTATGATGAGCAAGAGTGCTTCTTCCAGAGTAATGAATTGCATGACCCCTGGGTCAGATGTGCTGGTGTAAGAGTGGGGCTCTTGATAATATAGTGAAAATGAATTAATTTTATTAAATAATCCTGTCTGCTCCTTAGTGTTAAGCAGATAAACAGTGATTACTTATGATGAGCAAACTTCTGGTCCCAGGGTGAGAGGCTCTGGTGTTTCTCAGTGGGGAGGGGGGGGGGGGGGGGGGGCTCTGTTGACAAAATAGTGAATCTGTAATCAAAATGCATTATTTCTTTAAAAATCTTCTCTGCACCTGGGCATAACAGAGGCAAAAAGAGTGAAAGTTTAAATAAGGAAGGGTATTTTTATGCAAGAATTTTTATTGTATAATGCAAAAAGTACTTTCGTAGTTTTATTGATCAGGTTGACTTATAAGTAATAGATAAATAAAAATGAGACAAAAATAACTTGTCTTATTAAATGTTTATCAAAGACCAAGAGAGGCCAATGTAAGAGATTTCAACAAGGAATTATAATAGTACAGAATCACTGATAGTTTGTTAATTTACTGCATGGTGATAGTGATAAATGGGGCACAGATTAGAACCTAATTTATGAATGCTTAATTAATTAATGAATTTAATTATGAATGCTAGATGAATTATTTTGTTGATCCTGATCACCCTAATTTCTTGCTTTTGGGCAACAAAGCTTCACCTTTCAGTTCATTTTATACTCTATGGATCCTCTAAATTGTTGTATTATACTCAGGTGACCGTTAAGGCCCTTGGGCCTCTTGTTTTTTCTTTTTAGCTTGTATGAGCTGAATGCTCAAGTGAGCTTTTCTGATCATATTTTTGTTTGTCTATCTGTTAACTTTTTTACATTTTCAACTTCTTCTCAAGAACTAGTGGGCATTTTCAACCAAACTTGCCACAAAATATTCCTGAGTGAAGAAGATTTAAGTTTGTTCACATCAATGGTTACCCCTTCTTTCAAAGGAAGATAATATAGAATAAGTAAAAAATTATTGTCATTTTTCAAAATTTTTCTTCCCTTAAACCATGGAGTCAGAAGAGTTGAAACTTACTTGGAGATTCAAGTTTGTTCAAATCATGACTCCCTGAGTAGGGTAAATCTACAATGGGCAATCCAAAAAATTCTCAAAAGGTACGTTAAATGATCATCAAAACTTGTCAGTTTATGCATCATGGGACCTTGAAGTGTGTCAACCAAAAAGTAGGTCACCATGACCTACTTTCTGAATGTTATGACTAATCATTTTCTAAACATTAAAGGTCATTATTTCAGATACTAAGAGGTTAAGAATCATCAAACATGTAAGTTGGTGCACTGTAGCAACCGCTACTGATATAACGCCGCTTAATGATACACATATCATTAAGCGTTGCACTTTAACGTTTAATGCCATAAATTATTGCATTAATGGTTGACCTTTTCAACCGCTAATGCTTAATCGCCGCTTAATGATAGAATTATATCATTAAGTGTCACAAACACAGAGCAGCCTTAACACTTAACCCTTTCTCTACCAGCACATTTACATGATTTTGGAGACCTTTTGACATAGCATTATCAAATTATTTCTAACCTTTTTAACCAAGGAGAAAGCTAGGCATAATGTATACCATTTTGTAGGGAATTTCATAGAGATGATATTTCATGACTAATCAGATACCCAATGACTGACCTTATTAATAGAAATGGAGGTCAAAGGTCAAAAAAGTGCAAAATTTTATCGAATTTTTCGATATTTTTTAATCTTCAAGCTAAAAATTTACAATGATGTATGTTGAAATAGGAAATTTGGAATATACTCACAAAAGAGCATTATACTGTACTACATGAATCACATAAACTTTTTTTTCAATTCTGCATATAATGACTTTAAACGGGTTGCTTAGCAACAGGGTATTTTTCAATTTTCGGGCAGCAGTTTTTGTTTTTTGCTCATCCTAGACACATTTATGCATTCCAGCACATTTTAAAGTCAAATATGACGTCATAAAATTAAAAGGGAATTACAGTAGATAAATTGTCTTAAAGTTTGACCTCATTAGAACTATCTTTAGGACATCAAAGGTCAAATAAGTGCAAAAATTTCATCAACTTTTTCAACACTTTTCAATATTCTTGCTAAAATTTTACACAATAGATGCTGAAATAGAAAATTCTGAATATACTCTCAAGAAGGCATCAGAACTGCAATATCAATACACCATTTTAGTTCAAATATTTTTTTAATGACCTTTAAGTGGTTGCTAAGCAACAACATTTTCAATGTTTTGGCTGTATACAATGTATGTTTGTTATTGCTCATTCTGGACACTTTGTGTATATTCCATGATATTGTAAGTAAGATATGGGCCAAAATAATGTAAAGAACATTATGAAATTAAGTATTGACCTTGACACTTCTGTTCTTAGTGGGGTCAAGGTCAGATCAGTACAGAATTCTGCCTTATATTGCAAGTGTATATCAATTTTGAAATGCTGCAATCATTATGGATATATCATCTAATAGTTGACAAAAAAAGTTGTGAACAACAAAATCCTGAGAGAAATTTGAAAAAATTAATTGATCTTTTTTATTTTGCATATCTTGGTTGCCATTCCAAAATTACATCTAAAACATGTGAACTGAAATAAAATTTGTAAGATGCGATTGCATGTAATTCAACCTTAGTGACACACATTATTAAAATAATATGGTAAATGTCATATGGTAATATGATAAGCATGAAGAAACCTCATGAGATGGACAATGGATGGAACTTGGAATCTCTTTTTCAAATAAGTGGCTTTTGCATTACAATCCTTTCATTCATCTTATTTATGTGACATGCATTTGCTCATCTTTGCAAGCAAAGGATTCTGGTCTGCTACTCTTCTCACAAACCCTTAGCCTATCATGCTATCAAAAGTCAGGATTGTTTACGTCACCTGATCTTGAAACACAGCTTGCATCATTTATAAAAATAAAGATCAGTTATAAAAAGTGAAGTGTTGGAAGAATAATTAACAAGCTGATAGGTTTATTCGTCAGTAAGTTGCAAGTCTGCAAGTTGCAAGTCAATATACAAAATGCAAGTTCCAGATTACATTAATCTTCACATTGGATGATATGCCATAGCAATTTAAAGAATGGAATGTTATCTTATGAATCATTGTTTACAAAGGTTTTTATTACTGAGATTATAGAATTAAGAAATATCCTGAATGAAGATATCGTCATTTACTATAGCACTTACTGATTGGTCAAATGATGTCAATAAACTCCAATCACAACCTGTGAAAAAAAATCCTGACTTTTGATAGCAAGATAGACCAAGGGTTTGTGAGAAGAATAGCAAATCCCTTCGCTGGTGAAGACTGCATTCACTAGCCATGTTTGATGAGAAACATTTGACTTGGTCTTTTAAGGCAATAATAAATTGACAATGCAAGTAATTAAAAAAAATGTTGTCAAAAATTTGAAGTACAATTTGCAAACGGGGTTTCTTGTGTTCTAATTAAAATAAAAATTCACAACCACAATATCAAGTAAATTTTAAAAAACCAGTACTTCAATACTTTCCACCATAATCTCGGTGGAGATTCGGCTGGGCTAGATATATTTGGTTTGACGCCCACCGGTGGGCGTCAGTCCAAATATATCTAGCCCAGCCAAATCTCCACCAAGTTTAAGGTGTGGCAAAAATGACAAAAAGGTGTGGCTGAACAGTGATGTAAAAATTACATAACAGTAAATACAACATGTATAGTATCTTTCTGTTAAACAAAAACAAATCCATTTTCTTGATGCCATAAAAAAAATAACCTTTATTTTCGTGGATTTTTTTCCCCGACTTTTAATTTAACAAGAAAATAAACTAATTGATTTCATTACAAGTTTTTTCTGGTAACTGTGCTTAAAGGGGTACAATAAAGACTTGAGGTCATCTTGGAGGGAAAAAATAATAATAAATAGCATTGGCAATATTTAACGCAAAACTGTTTAGTCAATAAGTAGAATTTGTGATGTTTTTATCCAAATATACAAATCCAGAAATATTGCAAGCTAAATTCTAAATCAGACTGATTTAATCTTCCACAAAATGTTGA